GTAAGACTCTGCAACTGGCTGGTTGGAGACACTGAAGGATATGGCGACTAACCGACAGCAGTGGTGTTCTTGTTATTTCTTATCAAGTCAGAATGCTTGAAAAGGTATGTATGCATACTTAGATTGTATACTCCGTGTTGACCATCGAGGTTCACTTTCTTTGCCCCCCCCCCCCCCNTAGGCCCAATCCCCCTCGATCTTGTGCTTTATCGCCCAATTTGTGTACATTTTGAGGTTGGCAACGATCAGCGAAGTTCGCTTCACTGTATCTCGCCGTACGATGATGATGATGAGTGAAGTCGGTTTGCGCCCAAACGATAGACTTACCAACTGGTGTATGCAGACGATATTGTGTGACTGAGTGAAAATTTCGGTCGGGCTTAAGCCGGTCTGCGTAGACTGAGGGCGAGGGTACCCATACCTGACGCGTATTTATTTGACTTTATTTAGACAGAAGTTGCGAATTGTTTAGTCATGTTCTATCATAACGTTATACTTGACACTATTTTGTCCAAAATAGAGGTGATGTGAATCACCGGAGCACTTTAGCTGTTCTATTGGTTCGGTTCACACTTGATTTTCTGTCATCAGAATCTACATAATCGTCTGAATTCCTTCAGGTGTGCGCGTGGTTTACTGTATCCAAACTATCTGAGACAAACGTCACCTTTCAATTATTCCACAGGAGCTTACTGAATCACGTGAAACTTTTAGAACGCGATAAACTTGATAGCACCCTTGTGCTGGCTGAAAACCTGTTCCACACACACAGGCACTTAATGAAAATCGTGAACAAATACTCGATTTCATCGGGAAAAAAACAAGAAGAGTAATTCGCTGGACTGGTATTGTGTAGAAAAACAATGACATTAGGTATATCTCTTTTTACGATATTTATATTCAAGCAAACAAAACTTCACGACTAACCAGGGAGGCCGTGCAAAGAGGATCATCAACCTAGGCATACTTATATTGCGACCGAAATTCCTCAAGCACACTCGTATTTCGCTGCAACGTTTAGCGAACACCTATAGGTTCTTAAAGAAAAATCCCTTCGTCGGCGTAGGCTGCCGCGAAGAATATCTTGCCCTAAATTCTCCCGCAGCCAATTGGATAAGCCTCTTTCCCATCTGTGTAGTTCATCCACTGAATACTGACTAAAAAGTAGATTCCATATTTTAATAGGTCGGCGCAATGTCTGTGCCAATTCGCTGTGGTACGTAACAGTAAATTTCTACTGTTACTCTGACGGCCTCGAGATAATTGTCGGAATAAAAAAAGTTGGTACTCATGAGTAATATATACATATTATTGAAATATGGATGAGAAAACTCGAATTAACATACTTTGTAATGGTTTACTAAATAATCACTTAGTTCGATTTTTATGGAACAAAGCACTGATGAACAGGCATCAGGAAAATAGAGCAGCAAGGTACAAATGCTCTAAATCTACTTTATTATCAAATCGGTATACCTCAACATAATACGCAAGACATTTTATCAAAATTTGTAAACTATCTAAAAGATGATTCCTTCTCAAAAACGTACATTACGAAGTCATATAAATTGCACCTAAATTTCATATCAGGAGTGGTTTGCTAACGAACCTCATGCAACTCTTATGATCAATATTACGAAAATCATATTTTTTTACTGACAAAAGCACCGCACGGTGTAACCAGGAGAAATATTTAAGTTAATGGACCGATGGATAAGCATAAATAGTGCAGTAGAAAGTGTTCACACAAAACTTTGTGAAGGATCCATCTCTCTTTACATTTGAGAGGAAACTTGGGATACGAATGAAGTTCTCCGACAGTGCCGAGATGCAATTTCTTCGTGATGCATCGATTCAAATGAAAGAGTTACAGAGGACCATAACATTGATCATTGGTGTTCGTTGTGTACAATAGCGATGCTAAAGCCAATTGTAAGTGTGTCGCGATGATGTTTCTCAGTTCTCAGCAATTAAGATCGTCGTGGTTTGATCGAGAAGCGGCCTTTCATTCCTTTAGTCAATGGGGTAAGTTAAAAGCTTTATGCAGCTACCTCGGATAAAAAAATTATTTTGCTAAGTCCAAATTTAAACCTGCATACAGAACAGACATATTGGTGTGAAAAACCACAGAATTCATCAATTTCGGGTTCCTAAGAGATTGCAGAAAAATAGGAGTGAGACAACAGCATTTTGCACTACCATCATTATAAAGCCGAAAAAAGCAAGTAAAGAAGAAAAATTAAAAAAAGAAAGCCACCCGTATCATTTCACCTTTTGATGTCCATGTACAGACATACGTCTATCCAAACAAAACGTCACTACAAAAACGATATTACTATTCGATAGTCATTTGATATTTCGTATACCTGCTACTCTTTTAGGATTATGAGAAAAAATAAATTATTTTTAACTATAAATTACATTGCAGTACAATCGGCATAGATTTGATAACTTAGTTATACCGAGATTGTATACTGGAACATATTTACGGAAATATAGAAAATATTGTTAAAGTATAAAATGTAACTAAATGCGAAAACTTGATAAAGACAGATGATCAATCATTTACAATTACCACCTTCCTGACTACATATGAACCACAAGAAAACTGAAGATATGCATCAACCGCATCAGAATAATGAGTCTTCTCACTCTGGGAAACAACGGCGGTGCTTCCGGTAGATCAGAGAGAACCAAATGTCGCAGCACGTTGCGAGGAAGTGCCGGATAGAGTGACTGACGCCTGAAAATAAAACAAGAATGCAAGATCGGCATGAATTTCTACTACAGACTCACTGACGGGATCGATTTCATGATGCATGTAATGTATATAGTGTTTCTAGACCGAGTTGCGAGGGAAAGAAAGAACAATAAATTATGAAAAGAGAAAATTATCAAGCTTATGATGGACTAAAGACACTACAAACGGCTATTTGCCGACACCTACTGGAGACCCAAAACATATTCACTGTCACTTTCCGCATCATTTATCACAGGGTTTCATCACTAGGAAAACGACTTCAGTTTACGATCCTAAGCACGACCGAGGGGAAAACGGTGAAAACATTCAATCCCTCCATTTATAATCAGAAACAGCATGCTTGGAATGAACAACACCAGTAACATACTCTTGGGGACTGCATTGCCAACCGAGAAGAGATGCTGACTGTGTAAACACAACATATTGTGTACGTACTTTAGTACGAGAAAAACTCCGGTCAATAAGACTAATAATTTCTGTACAATGGTTTTTTTCGTTATTCAATTATAAAAATACGGCTTCTTTGGGCTACCGAACTGTGTTCGCAATGTGGTAATGGGTATTCTTTATCTATCGAGTTGATGTATCTTACACAACGTGACAAATCAAGCGAATTTTTTTATTCTGCGGTATACGCGTTATTTTTCAACTGAGTAGCACAAATGGCTAACATCAACATTTGCTACAGCAGCCTCAAATTTGAGATTCAACGCGAGCTGCTGTATGGACCGAGTAATACTCAAACTAAGGGATGGATGAAAGTTCTATTTAACGATTGACTAGAAAGGCTTTAAACTTCAACCCATTCCGATATCAGAACTTCGCAAGTAAATATAATGCGGCAGGAGACAGAGCTTCTAAATACACCGAATCGATCAGTTAGTTGACTGAAGGTTTCGCACACGATTGTAAGAAGTTTGAAGTGAAGGAAAGTGGAATAAACAGCACGCTCTTTTGTATGATACATATACAAGACTAAACTAAACTAAACAGTTTTCCTCACCTCCGTGTCACTTTTGTCCCTGTCGAGCGCATTGGTTCAACTGACGAGCAGACTGAAGCTTACTGAGAAATGACAGTGTGATTGCTGATTTCACTCATAACACCATTCAGATAACGATAACGAGCAGTGGGAACCCGTATTTGTATAATATGCAAGTGCATATGATTTATTTCGCTAACTTTCGCGGTATATTCTCAGAAATCATAAATGATAATTCCACTCTTACAGAAGAGATAGTGAATACTTCATATCAGAAACATGGAATCAAATAAACGCGCTCTACAATATAAAAGATGTGAACAAGATCATGCCGAAAAACTTACTTTTTGGAATATTCTTTCAGTCGAGGATCCGGTCGGACACGGTTCCCGGACGAAAATGGCTCAACCAAATCCAGAACAATAGCAATATTATGCTCCAACCAGGAGAGCACATCCGGTGATGTCCAAAGTGCATGGGTTCGTGTCACATAGAGGTCCAAAAGACGTCCGAGACTGTCAGATTCACTGGTATTGAGCACGGATAAACAAATGTATACATGCAAAGAACTAAGTTCGTGGTTAAAATTCATAGTTAATCCCTGTCAGTTACCGAAGATACATTGTTTCATTAGTTTATCGCAAGACTGTTGGAGTTTAACAAGAACCTCACTCATCATCTAACCATGATGATTTGATAAAACAGTGATAAAGTAGTATTTTCCGCTTTGCGTTTTGGTGCCGTGTCAAAATGAGAGAAAAATACTTACGTATGTATTTCCTTGCCGAATAGTACTGATTTGTCTAGGTTCGTAACCCCACCCAGAGTGGTATGCTTTAACAGTCGTGTTACGAATCCCGGAAACATGATGAGTGCATCTTGAAGCTAGTGTTGGCAAATGGAGAGGGAGAAAATACAAAACACGTCTAGAAGGAAATTGCTCAGAGGTGAGGCAAACAATTGCTACGAGCAAAATAATTCATTCGTTTTGACTGACAGTTTACTTACTTCTGAAGTTTCAGTTTGAAAAACCAATACTTTTCCACTTTCTATCTGTGGTTTTGATAGCTTTCTTTTGGCTACCCATTTAGATAAAAGGGTAGAGGGAAGAGTGGTATTTCGAAAGCAGTGGTAGGGTGAAAATAGGGAATTCACGCAAACTAATGCTGTAAGGATATTGAGCAGACGCATGAGCACCACAGTTTACGACACTCAACCATATTAGTCAGTATCTCTGACCACCGGTTACGCTGATCTCGAGGTTCTGATCCAGGAAACCTTACTTGAGCAAGTCTCCCGATCGGAATTTTCATACCCTGATGTCAGTTCTTTGTCTGACAACCCTTCACTCTTTTCTATCCATTACCTGTCTCGGCGAACATTGCGTGCCGTGGCAATCGATTTGGTGACATGCGTAACACATGCACCAACCAGCGTAATCTTTAAAGTTAGAATCAATTGATTTGAAAAAAGATTCGGGAATGAGAGTTGCATCACGATAAAGTAATGTGACAACCTATGAAACTCTAAGAAAGTTCCGACTAGACTTTGATAAGAAACAAACGCCTTAGATGATAACACCAAGTATTCTGCTATTTGGTAATAGAACTCTCAAGCAGTGTCCGTTTATCTGGCTCGGATAAATAAAAAACTACAAACAACTCCACACCTCATCGGCTGTCCAGCAAAGCAATTATAATTGGATCAGTGATTGCACCAATCAAAGTGGGCAGTGACAAGTGAACTATCTTTCCAATATCCCCTTTGTCTTCTCTATCTGACTGTCTAACTCCGAGGCTCTTGACCAAACAGCGTTGTGATCAATCGGATACAGAATGAAATTCGAACTCTGGATACCCGTCAACCTCGGAATTCAGGGGTCTTCAATGTGAGGACGCTCCTGCAGATGGATCAGCAAGATTGTCTGTAGTTTACAACGGACTATAAAGTGCTCGACCTGTGTCGCGAGCCAAAAACTCAGGATCCCAGTGGCAAAAGATATTCGAGTGCTCCAGGCCAGTTTGAGACACTTTTATTACACATCAGGAAACGATAAAGCTCTTCCGCTAGGTCAAAGTGGAGCGGGCATTGTAGTGAACTATTAGACAGAAGCCTCAATGAAAAATTGGGTTCGCGTCAATAATAATTCGTGTTGGACTCGGATCCGTGGATTAGCAACAATAAAAGGTGTTAATTCATCATCTTGGTGTGTACTGACCCACAACAGGAGGAGTTCTACGACAAACCTACCGAACTCATCCGATTGAACAGGATAGTCCGTTTGGTTTTGGTGGCAGGCGATTTTACAGCATAGGTTGGAAAACTGGATACATCATAATCATGCCTATGGTGCCGCTATTTTCTGCCCTCTACGAGGATGGAACGATGATTGACTAATTCAGTTCGTGCATATTACTGGCTGTTTCCGTTTTAAACCAACTTTCGTCACAATTCTGGACCGAAGCTGTGCTCCAGCTCAGCGATCTGACTTGAATTGTAAGCTTATCCACATTGGTTACATTTTGATCTATCCTGCTAGGTCAGAATTAGGACAAGAACGGATGAATCTTCATGTGAACCCCGATAAAAATAGAAATAAAATCTTATCCTTTAACTTTGGTGAGAGGACCATCCGCTGGGCCTGGAGGACTTGGCTCACCATTTTCCCGAGTATTTTTGATTTGTATAATTTAAATTTGTTTGGTGACTGACAAGTTCGGTAAATTTTCTCCTTTTTGCTTCAACTTTCAATGTTTCTGTGTTCAGAGACTAGGACCCTATATAAGCTAACTATCTGACACGGTACACTTAACTAACTTTGGTGTTAATTACAGATTAGTTGCTCACCGTCTGTGTTCTCATTTTCCGTATTAGGGAGAAGGCTTTTAGTGCTCGTGGAGTGCATTCTGCGCTGTGATCGTATTCTTGAAGCTGGAGAACTTGTATGGCCGTTGAGGTACGTGATCTACGATGTTCGGACCTACCTCTTATCTCCCCGTGTGTTCACGCTCTGTGACATCGTGTACGTCGCTTGTGAATGTGTGTTTCTCGTCCATCATCTTNATCATCTTAGTGAGTGCCACCAATACTGTGTTGACTTGTGTTTGTATACACCGTGTGTCTCACGCCGTTCCTGTGCTATTGTGTCACTGTTATCTGTGTTCTGTGTTATTGGTGATCGATCGCGAATGACATAGCAGGAAGTCTGTCTGATCACCCTGGGGTGAATCACATAATCATATCTTGGAAAGACGTTGAGGTTTGCTGGGATTTCTTTTCATACAGACTGATACGGCTCAACCTTACACAAGGAATAAGGAGTCAGAAACGGAAATCAGTATTTTATCCAATAAACCTCGTCCAGTTTCACGAGCCATTACAGTTTATTGCCTGTAGTGAACAACTCAGCCAGTGCATTTCATGATACACTGGTATGTAACCTGTAAGAATTACTCTTATTACTTCTGAAAGGGCTCGACAAAGCACTGGAATCAAAATGAGTTAGACTCGAACTACGAAAGCCTCCCCTCTGGTATGTGCCAATTCGCATGAACTAACATACTGAATCACTTTTATCTGCAGGTGACTACATTGTTTCCTGGATATCCTTTAGAATGGCTGCCCACATATGGTGATCAATAGATAGATGGCCTGTGATGCTATTCGCCGCTGACTCCGCAGTGTTCGCCAACCCCCCTTACTTCATACCCATGATGAAAAATGGGGAGAACCTCAGATCAATTATGCGGAGTCACATTCCCAAGACCATTAATCTGACTCTACCCAATTACGGAGAAAGATATATTACCCTGATGAGTGAAGAAAAGCGAAAAAAATCGGTCCAATTAGGTACCAATTAGCTGGTCCAAATAATCAAACATCCAAAGGCAGTAAAGGCTAGCGTAACCTTGGAGGTAATTATCTGAAATGTGAAGCAGTGACTAACTATTTACCGCTGCAGTCTCCACTCCTATTCATTTTATAACCAAGTCTTTGAATGGCACTGTAAAACCTTTTCAGTGTGTTTTCCTGGACTATTCTTCAACATTCAACTCCATTCATCGGCCAGTGCTGTTGCCAAAACTGGAACCGTTTGCCTGCCCCAAGTAACGGTTACGTGGGTTACACAATTATGTTACTGACAGAGCACAAACTACTAGACTTGGATAAGCTCCATCTAAACCCTCAAAAGAGTTGTGCTGACCCCACACTTATATCCACATACTTTGCGATATGCCTCGCGTGTCTCCGGCACGTGTTTTGAAATATGACTTTCTCCTCCGATCTAGGCTTCTTTACTGACAGACTTTCTCAAATTCAATCATTCTCCCAATCGGGGCACCAAATGTGTTGAATGTTTCTTCACTTTTTCACTCTCTGCATCCTCGACGGAGCCCACGGTGGTAAACAACAAGTCTTTATCTAGGATGAACTCTGTCAGTGATCAGTGAAGTTCGCTTCATTGTATCTCGATGTTCGATGAGGACGATGATGAACTCTGTCAAATATCTTGGTGCAACTATAGACAACAATCTTCGTTGGTCAAACCACATCCACAGCTGCAATGGTAAACTGCGGCGCATATCACTCAAATTTCGAAAGCTCGCACTTCTCAGCCAGTTATTTCTAATTTTGTATACCAGTGAGTTCTCTTCACCTCACTTTATTGTTCTCCGGTTTTTTCCGGTTTTCTTAAACAAGATTGGAAAATTTTGAATCACAGTCTAATGATTGTTGACCGCGTTTGGTCAGTGAAACTTTCGAATCATCATACAACTTCAACTTTGCGGACAGTATTATTGCAGACCCAAACCACTCTCTGCACGCTGAACTGACAAGTTGTCGTTCCCATTCCTCAACACGCTCTAAATTCCGATAGATACCATCTTGTATAAACGTTTGTTGAAATTCGCCTACATCTTATATCGCACGTTTACGTGAACAAAAAAAGGGTAACAACTGAACCACGTCCTGATCTTGGATTATGAATGTCTTTACGCTGTTTGTGAACACATTCTTTCCCGTGAAATGTGTTCCGTGTGATGGTCAACACGTAATGTTTTTAGACTGAAATGTAAGCTTCAGGGCGTGGAAATTTTATACAATCTACCATGTCGTAAAAAAAACAAAGGAACAGAGATAGAGTGAACCCAAGTATGGACTGGGGGCAAACATGCTAAACACGCAAAAATAAAAATTCGTTCAGAAGAAACAATGATCGTAGTCTGTAAAGTGTGTTCAGAATAAAAGCCTCACATGAATTGAGCGAAGGTGAAGTATTTCCAATAATGTTAAACAATTCATGACACGCAATACGAAAAATAAAATGACACCATTAGGAAAAAGGAAATTCTAGTAACCACATATATTATGTATCATCGCGAATTAACTGAGTAGGTGGTAGGAGGCTCTGCCGTCGCCCGGCTCACTACCATGCCTGATCTGTTGAAGCCTTTTACGGTCCACCACTCCAAGTTTCAGGATCATGGTTACCGGTTTCTTCACAACATAAACATGAAAGTACAAAATCACAAACGCTTACGGTCTCTCGCTAGCCCTATGCACCCACAATGGAATTATACACTTATCACTCTCCTCAACATTCGCGGACTGAACCGCAATGGTGATTTTGCACATTTTTTTCATTCTTCTCCGCTCGCCTTTTTTTTGACCGAAACACAAATCTCCCCCTTGTCAGACACCCTCCACCTTCAATTCCATAACTACACTCTGAATTCCTCCTTCCTACCGAAAGCTGATGTCTGCGCCTTTATTCACCAATCAGACGCCGCCTCTAGGATTCCAAATTTTGACTTCTCCAATCGTGAATTTCAGCTGATGTGGCTGAAACTCCGACTTCCTTTCTTTAATCATTACTTCTGTGTTCTTTATCGTTCCCCCAATAGTGCCAACTCTTCCATCTTTGATTTTTTTATCTTCGAATATCGAACACTTGTTTGCACCTGATCCCAAGTGCCATGTTACCATCTAGTGAGATTTCAACGTTCACAATCAGGACTGATTGGCACATTCATCTGCTACTTCGTTTTTGGGGCGCGGAGCCCAACACTTCGCTTTGCTCAACAACCTGAGTCAACTAGTTGACCTCCCTACAAGCGTCCCTGATCGAGCTAGCGATTGTGTCTACACCCTCGATCTAATTCTCACTTCGGTCTCTTTTTCTCAGATATTGGTACCCTCCCTCCTCTTGGCTCATCGGATCGTTGTATTGTTTATTGTTCTATTAGGTTTTCAAGCCATGAGCCACTACCCACCTCGAGATACAATGTGGCGCTACAACTCAGCAAACTGGGATAGCTTCCGTGAGTTCCTGGCTGGAACGACTGGAACGACTGCTGTTTCTCTTCGGATGTTTCCAACTTCACCGACGCTGTTCTTCAAGGTATGCATCTTTTTATTCCGTACTTTTTTAAACCCGGCAAACCCAAATCCCCTGAGTGGTTTAACCATGCATGTGACCGTGCTGTACGCCTTCCGCCGCTCGATCCCCTCCCCTTCTTCCACTGTCGCTTCGTGCAAACTAGAAACAGATGCTCAACGACTCTTCATAGAACCAAAGAGCGCTCCGTTCGCCGTAAAGCCGAAAACTTGGTCTCGTCCGCCACCGGTAGCCGAACATTTTCCCTTAATTTCTGCCCTTCCAACTTTCCCCCTATCTGTAATTCCTCTGATGATGTTATATGTCAACCACAGGAGAAAGCTGGGGTTTTCGCTTCTCTGTTTGCCGCCAACTCCACCTTACCCCATTTTTCTATACCTCAACCTCCTTCCCTCTTCACTGGCAACCCTGTTTTACCTCATATTACCACCGGAAAAATCCATCAAACATTGCGCTCTATAAACGCAAACAAACCACTTATTCAGGACGGTATTCCACCCACCGACCTCAAAGTGTGTGCTCCCGAGCTGGCTCCTATTTTACGTTTACTTTTCAGGCTTTCCCTCCAATTTTCTTCCTTTCCAACCCCTGGAAACACGCCGTGAGTTTTCCCATTCTTAAACGCGACGACCTTTCTAACCCCAAGAATTACCGACTCATTTCTCTCGCATCTGTTCTTTCTAAAGTATTTGAACCTATCATCTCTGACTAGCTACGCACGTTCCTTGAACGTGAAGGACTACTGAGCGACGGGCCGTAAGGCTTTCGACAGCGTCGTTCCCCCGATGACTTGCTGGCTCTTGTCTCACAATCCTGGTAAGCTCCGCTCGATAACTACGGAGAAACACACTTGTTCTCGCTTGACATCTCAAAGGCCTTCGACTGAGTTTGGCACGAAGGTCTACTGGCGAAACTACTCATGTTCGGGTTCCCTCGGGCGCTCGTAGCGTGGATATCAAGTTTCTTCAGTAAGAGAACAGTCTTCATCTGAGTTGATGAGGTTCTATCTCAGCTATTGCCTGTGAACGCTGGTGTTCCCCAGGGTTCAGTACTTGCGCCCACCCTCTTCTATTTATCAATGATCTCCGTTCCCAAACTGTCAACCCGATCCGTTCTTTTGCTGATGACACCACCCTCCACTGCTCCCTCTCTTATCGCACTGCTCGCCATGCCCAAAACAACATCGATGGTGACCGTAGTGCAGTTAATGTGTTACTGAGCTCCAATCTCAAACATATCTCCTCCTGGGGCACTGCAAACCACGTCTCACGTATTAGCTCTAAAACCTCTCTTCTTGGAACTTCTTTCTCTCTCTCCCCCATTTATCTTCCAACTCCAACTGCGTTCCACAGATTCTGTTTCCCTTCTTGGCTTGCCTATAACTTCTTCTTTATGCAGGTCTCCTTCGATAGCTGAGCTAGCTTCTCGTGCTGCGCGCCAGGTTGGATTTCTATTTCGCGCCAGACGTTCTTTCACTCCAGCTAATCTTCTTCTATTGTACAAAGCTCAAATCCGTCCTGCTCTTGAATACCGTAGTCACGTGTAGGGTGGGACTTCGTCTTCTTCTCTTTCCCTTCTTGATCGTGTTTAAAGAAAGGCCATCCGACTAATCAATGATCCTTCCCTAACATCCAGTCTACAGTCGCTAGCTCATCGTTGGGCAGTTGCTTCATTTTCCCTGTTCTACCGCTACTACTTTGGTTTTTGTTCTTCGGAACTTGCGTCGGCAGTTCCTCTTCCTGCAACTTCTACCCACACATCCCGTACACAGGCATCTAATTATCCTTATCAGGTTTNGTATCTCTCTACTCCAAACTTCTTTTTTTCCCCCGAACTGTGGAACACCCTCCCCCTTGTTGCCCCCCAACTCAGAACCTTACACATTTTAAACGCAGAATTGATAAACTGAACCTCACGTGACTGTTCCTTTACTCTCCCTTTTACAGTATGCTACTTGTCCATGGGGATTTCCCCTTTTACTGTAATTCACATTGTGTAATAGAAAAGAATAAAACAGGCGGGACGCACTTTATCATTCGCTTCAGGATGCTCGGAATCGCATTCTTTTGACTTGGCTTGTGCATCAAGATACAGGGCAAGCGGTACGGAATAGGCGAAATTAGGCAGTAGGTCCAAGTTGCGACGTGGCTATAAAAAACAAGTGTAATGTGGATGAGCACATAGGTTACCGAAGGGATTCAAAACTCACATTTGATTGGTCGTAAAATTTGAGCAGAAAATCCAATTGGCAGGCCAACAGGGCATAATGGTCAATCAGTAGCAGAACAGCCAGAGGATCATCATCGACGTTCAAGCTAAAATAAAACGGGTACGTTTAGAATTATCAGTATTATGTGAAGATAAACTTTTTCCGAAGTGAAAA